ACCTTTAATATCCGGGTATATTGTTTTTAAATTTTAAACACGGCCAGGTGTGTTATAGGACCGAAGACATCCAAAAATATTAATTTAATGCTTATATTTACATTCTCTAATTTTCCTTTTTCAGAATTGCTTATTTCGTTAATCTTTATTGTGAATTCAGCGCCCTTCAAAACTGCCTTGTTTTTCATTTCCCCCCACCTACCACATTTTGTACTTTAGGCAAGTTTCTACTGCAGTTTTTAAATAGATTTTCAATAATTGTTTTAAATTTACCTAGTCCCGAAGATATCATTTAATTTATGCATGATTACCATTATTCAAAGGGACAAACCAGAAAAATATATCTGACAACACTTTGTATTTTTGTATACGTGAACTTGATTCTGTGTAGTCATCATCAGAGGAAGGTGCAATTTTTACTTTCCTAGCAAAAATCTAAAATATCTGTACTGCTGTTCAAACTGACACACTAATGTCAGGAATATATTTAGGATATATCCTACACGATGAAAATAGAAAGATCCATAGCCTTTTAACAAAATAAAATAAAAAAACCCAATCTGTTTCGAAAATAGATTGTCACACAAAGAATTTCATTCATATGCTTTACATGTATATTTTATCATTAGAGATTTCAATAAAATTGCGTCATTATTTTCCATTAGGATTCTGGAAGAAAAATGGTCACATCAAACTGATCATGATTACTCCTTTCTCTGTAATACATTGAATTCATGAGTCTTTTTAAAAAAATGTATGAAATATTAAAAGTTACACCGGTATGTAATAAATAAAGTCAGTACGGAACAAATAAAAAAGAAATATTGAAAATTAAAATTTCGGAATACAATGAAAGAAAAACAAACATTTGAACTTATTAGCTTTGGTTATCTTACAATATCTATTCAATATGTGGATTATTAGGTGCCTTATTTGAGTAGCAGCATGAAAAATCTGCATTTAGGAAACTTACGAAAAATACATCGAACACAGGAAACAAAATGAAACAGAATATAAATTTTAATTTGTTCATTCGCAATAAAATAAAACAAATAAACTTGACAATATTAAATCACGGAAATAAACAATCAGTCAATTAATCTAAATGCTTCAAGAGTTACTGGTAATCTATAAACTCGGAACGTTTTCGCAGGGTTTGGCTTGCACGTACTTATTATTATGACGTCATTTACGAAAAATGACGTTGATTCTACTCATTGCTGCTAAATGGACGAGTAGTACCTCAATATACTAAATTTTTAATAGTATGAAAATATACCTTTGAAATGAAATCGTGTTCATTGAGCATATTCAATAATAGTAGTAATTATACCGGTATTATAAGTAACAACTCATTTATTTCAAAAATTCATGGCGTCATCGCTGGTTAGAAATTCACTTTGTTTATTTATTTATTTGCTTGAAATTTTCATGATATTCTACAAATAAGCCATGAAAACTTTAATGTTATGCAATAAAATGATGCAAAAGTTCAATAATTGATTACGTTGAATAGAAGTAAAAAGAATACAAAGTCACAATTCATTTCAATAAAATCGGCCCAAAATCGGCCCCGTGGCATTTGACGCAAATGTGTGATCGGCCCAAAATCGGCCCAGTGGCACAGAAGTAGTGAAAAATGATACCTTTGTTGCAACCACTATTGAAATAATGACCGCTATATATTGAAATAATTATATCAATAGCGGTTGAGAGTGCATTTCAATATCAAATATAGTTAGTAACCACTATTGAAATACGACCATTATTGAAATAATTATATCAATAGTGGTTGAGAGTGCATTTCAATAGCAAACATAGCTAGTAACCACTATTGAAATACCACCAGTATTGAAATAAATATATCAATAGCGGTTGAGAGTGCATTTCAATACCAAACATAGATAATAACCGCTATTGAAATACCACCACTATTGAAATAATTATTTCAATAGTGGGTAAGATTTATTTCAATAACAAACATAGGTTGCAACCACAATTGAAATAATTGAATTGAGATTTCGATATGGAGTAAATTATGGTTTAGTTTTGAAGTATTATCAGCAACTATCAAAATACTTATTTAAATCACTTTTAAAATTATAATATCAACAAGAGCAAAGCTCGATGTAAAACAACGAGTAGGTCCTCCGTCCTGTTTGACCTGAAGTTACTTTTATTTTTTACGAAAATGAGTAATAATACCGAAAAATGGTTTAAATCCTCTAAATCTATGTTAATTAATGCAGAAATTAGCCAGTTTTTGCTACTTCCGGTTTGACCGGAAGTGATGACGACGGATGGAAATTTAATTTTTAGGCTCCCAGTGACAGATGATACCCAAAATCTTGTCAAGAACTGCAAAAATATGCGTTTTCAGACTACTTCTGGTTTGGCCGGAAGTGACGTTGCCGGACGTATTTTGACTGCAATAGATATATAGCAATAAATATTACATGCAACACTTAATGACTTCAAGACGCACTTATCAAAGCGAGGCTACTCTACTTCGGAAATTGATCCTATTATCAAGGAAACGGTCAACACAAACCGATCAAAACTCATCATCAAAAAGACTAAAGAACAGTCATTACGTAACCCTACAGTACTGGTTACTAAATTTAACCCTTGCGTTAAAGGACTGAAAAAACGAATTCTAAAATATTGGAACACCATTCTTAGAAATCCACAATGCAAAACTTTATTTAATTCTCAACCAATCATTGCTTACAGCAAACACAAGAATATAGGTGACGAGATAATCCGGTCTCACCTAAAACAAACACCATGATTTATGTCCGTGACCCCTGATGAGGCTTCTTAATAGCCGAAACACTCTACAACTACTTGCATAATTCAAATCAGATATTAATCTGCTCTATGCAAAAAACATATCTACTAAAAGTGTGGTTTGGAGTGTCGGGTCCTAATAAATCTCTTACAAGTTTGGCTGATTGATGTCGCTAATTTTCACACGTTGCCAGACGTATTTTGACTGCAATAGATGTAGCTTGACATTTTGAACAACTTTGCTTCTTTGACGTTTTACAAATTCTCAATACTTTTTAGATATAAAAGAAAAACTTTCGATCCCGCTAGGCCCTTAATTTTAGGGGCCAGCCCTTTTTCCGAGATATCATTTGAAAGATCTTGGAATTCTTCACATTTTTTGTTATACATGTTGTAACAAAATATTTCTAGGTAAAAAGTAATCGTTGAAAAAGTTTCAATATTTTTTTAGTTCGCGGTAGGACTATTTTCGGGCCATAACGAGCTTCCGTACACAGCAATTTGGGTGAATATGAAATGCGTTCCGCACAACTACATTTATTGCTCTATTATCACTAAAAATCTCAAGTTTTTATCTTTTTGAGAAAACTCGCAGGCAAACTAATCCATAAAATTCACTAAAATGCAAAAATCTCAGAACCGGAAGTGGCGTCATCAAAATAAAAAAAATATATGTCTAGATTGTTTGTTTCATCAGCCATGAAAGTTTAATGAAAATCGAGCAAACCGTTTCCGAAAACTCGCGTGCACAAAATCAGTAAGAAAAAAAGAAAAAAAAATGTGGAAAAGAAACCTAAGAATAACAGAAAGGTCTTCCGTTGGAACTTGATAACTATCTTAATCTTCATTTAAGGACAGATGATACAAACAAAATATGGATGCCTGGATTGATATATATTGTTTGGTCTGATTTCATTGAAAATAATGCAAATAATAAATTTCTAGAATGTAAAGAAATTGTAAACCTTCTCTGATGTAGTTCAAAATTTTGCCTCACAAAAACCATCTTTATTAATTTATACACTTCAACTATTATGGCTTGTTCACACGACGAGTTTAATTCTTAGTAAATTAATGCGAAGTCAAAGGAATGCGAATCAAATTAATGCGAATTAAATTGCGTTCACACGACAGCTAATACGAAGTAAACTAATGCGAATTAAACATTTTTCCTTTACAGTCAGGCGACATGCCTTATTTCTTAAGAACATTTAACTAAAGATACCTTCTATTTATTCTTTTTGGAGTTTTTATCAATGGTGATAAATATGATAGCTGTTGAAAGAGAGACTTTAGTAAAAAAAATAAAAAAAAGATATTCGATTCAGTTATGGATCCATGATTGTTTTCAAAGGGGGTGGTGTGGTGTAAGGGAGCTATGATCTAATTATAATATTTCCAGGATTTACAATGTATTTTATTGATTTGATATCAATGTAAACTTTAAATATACATTATATATGCATTTGGTATTTTTATGATTTAATTTGTCGTGAATATTTGCGAAGGTAGTTTTGACAAACTGAAATTTTATCATCTACACAACATTGTTTTCGCCTTTTCTTATCGTAGTTGATGAAACAAAAATATATTAAACGATTTCTTGATAGTAAAGTCATAATAAAGGGGAGTAATCAAATGTTGAACCCGCTTTTGATTGGTTAATCTGGATCTTGAATCTCGAAACTCGAATTTCGTAGTTCGAATCTCGTATTTCAAATCTCGAATTTCGTGTTTCGAACCTCGAATCTCGAATGAGCTTTCTGGGCTTTCGTAATACGGATTATAGACACAAGTTATACCAACTTAAATTGTCCTCTCCATTGATTCACATGAAAATAATATAAAAACCATTATAAACAAGATTGATATTGAAGCTTTTTCCCAGATATAATTATATCAGCATGTAACCAAATGAATGTCGAATTCATTGATTTGATAAATTTCCTATACCAGTTGATATATTAAATTAATTGATTTATCGGTAATTCAATATAGATTATCATAAACAGAAGATGTGCTTGTTTTCAAATATATTTAAAAGACTAAGGGTGGGTTATATGATACATGCAATCAAAATTTAGCAACATCAAGTTTAACATGTTTATTTTAAATCTATTAATGATGCGTCTATTTTTTTTTAATAGCATTTATTTAAATCTTCCATGAATTACACATTTGAATATAATTCATCATATACTCTGTTACAGGTGACACTTTGGCTTGGCACAGTGGATATAATTTCACCACTAAAGACCAGGATAACGACATCTATAGCGGTGTTAACTGTGCTACAGACCGACGCGGAGCCTGGTGGTACCACAACTGTGCCAACTCAAACCTGAACGGAGAGTACGGACAGTCTGGTGTGTCTGGTAGAAAATACCCGATATGGTATGGCTGGAAATACCTGGAAGCATTAAAGCAGACTGTGATGATGATCAGACACAAGATCTGAATCAGATTGTTATCAATTATAACATATATCATTGTTATTTTGTCTGTTTATAGTACATGTATCAGCAACTCGTTTTTATTACATATTGTTTTGTTCAAGGAGTTCTTTCTATATATAGATATATCAAGATAGAAGGCTTATCTCAGAACCACATCCTTTGATTTATTTAAGCATTGAATTCATATTTTTTTATGTCTTCGGTCCTATAACACACCTGGCCGTGCCGACAAATTGAATACCACGCGTTAGTGCGGTATTCAATATTTGGTCGGCACGGCCAGGTGTGTTAAGTTTTATTTTAATTTACATGAGCTACATGTATCACATGTGCTGCATATTTTGCGTCTGGCAAAAAAGTTGATAAACGTGATAAACTCTCCAATCACTGCGACACGAGAAAGATAGATATTTTTGTATACATTTTAAAGAAAAATTCTTGTACATGTAATAAACAGATTGAATCAAGATTTTTTTTAAAAAAAGAAAATTAGCTCTGCGTGATGAATTGATTGATTGTTTTACATTCTTCCATTCGAGAATTTTTACTCCTAAGAGACTTTATCATGAAGAAGGATATGGAAATAACGAACAGTATTCAATCTCAACGTCCATTAAACAATATACAAAATAAGAGCAGAGCAAACACGGGCCTCCGAAACATCAGAGGTGGGATCAGGTGCCACGGAGGAGTGAGCACCCCCTGCCGACCGGTCACACCCGCCGTGTGCTCGTTGTCAAGATCAGGAAATAACGGAAAAAATCCGTCGTCAATTCAGTGTATAAATAATAGACTAACAATTGGTGTGAAAACCGTCAGTTAGCATTTCACTCAATGATAAATTGTATTTGCTGACAAGGTCATTGTATCGACCATAGAATTTACGAAATGATGACTTTAAACGAGACTGTTGATATTCTTGTTTCATCAACTTACTTGTCAATAATTTACCTCGTTTAAGAAATTGTTCATACGTAAAGCATGCTCTTGCGTATCGAATCAACTGAGATATATATACTCCGTATGCAGGTGATGAAGGTATATTGCTGCATAAGTAAGGGAAGTTGACGATAGAAACGTTAAAGTTATCACGTTTATTACATAGCTTGGTTGTTAGATTACCATTAGTGTCTTTTTCAAGTAAAATATCCAAGTATGATGCAGAAGTGTCGGACTCTGTGGTATCTTCATCTCAAGCTCACCAGGATATATCGTGTCGACGTAGGAATGGAAATTATCATTATAAATTGACAATACGTCGTCGATATATCTAAATGTCGAGTTGAAGGCCGCAGCAAGTTTTTTCTTATATAAAGGTATAAAGACTTCGAATTTATATCCGTAATAGACACTTAAGGCCACTGAGCCATGGGTTCAACGGACTTTATCCTGCAAACACATATCGTGATACAGCTGAACCTAACCTCTTTTTTGGAAAATCTCAATCATTCAAAAAAAAAAAAATGAAATTTTACGCCAAAGTGCAGAGCGATTTGTGATAGGGCTATGCCTATCGATATTCAGAAATGTATCGCATGGATGAAAAAAATTACTTTCAAAAGATTCACTGCGGGTTTTGCCGGTAAATAAGGGAATCTTTATCTTTCTAGGCACCTGGTCTTTACTCTGATATTTTTAGAGGCCCGTGTTTGCTTTACATCTCCGGGGTTCCGTTTTTTATTTCCTGTTAACAGACTCGGTATACTTTGTAGATTATTTGATATCACAATTCTATACGTTCTTTTCAGTTTGATTGTGAATAAATTATCTTATATGAAAGTTGAGAATTAATTATCATAGATTGTTAATATGAATAAATTATTGTATATTAAAGCTGTGAATTGAATATCATTGATTGTTATTGTGAATAAATTACATTATTAAGCTGAATCTGTGAGTAAAATTTTAGATAATGTAACTCAGAATTAATTATTTCATGTAGAATATATGAATAAATTAATAGATACTCCACCGCTTGAAAAAGCATTGAGAAGGTAATGATTAGGTGCCCGTCCGTCTGTCCGTCCAATACGCTTTGGGGTACCCATCTCTTATTCGCAACTCCTCTTATACTACAGAATGAAATCTAATGAGATATTTACAGAATCTTTGTTACACAATGCCATTATGACCTCTTGTTTTACTTTTTGGTTCGACACATATTTCGGGTTTCCTATAGCAAAACATGGGTGCTGCCATTCTTTCTATAATATCAAAAATAAAGTTTTTTGCGATCGTTTGTAAAAAAAAAAACAACACTTTGAATGTAGGATATTCTGCGAATTTTATAACCCTTGTTTTCGAAGATTTGGGGATATTTTTTTTTGTCCTGCCCGTTTGTCGGTCTGTCGTTTGTCTATACGAAAAAGAATTATCTTTCTCCCTAACTTTTGATTGTTTAAAGCTATGGCTTTCCTAATTCACATTTGCATTCACTTTTACAACAAGACCAAGTTCTCCTTGTATAAACATATTCGAGGTCTTGGCATTTGGAGTTTGACCCACTTTTGCAAACCTTTCCCAAACTTGAACCTTGGGCAATAACTTTTGAAGTGTTGATGGTAGATTTCATACTTCGAATTTATATGAATTCTATCAGGTATAAAAATTGTGACATTTTGACCTTGACCTTAGAAATTGACCCACTTTTATGAAAAGTTGACCATATCTCTTCAACATTTATTTAGTTCTTGGACTTTCATTTTCACAGGTGTATTCCTTGTGACAGGTCCTTGTAGAAATCGCTAATGATCGATATAATGCCTTCTGAATGCCATTAAAGCGGCAATATGGCTGCAAATCGTGTGTCTTTTCATTCAAATTTACCCAATAAATCATTTAGGAATAGGGTAAAAAGTTGAATTAAGCATTTGAGAAAAATAAATATTCCCTCCTCATACAAAATTAACGTAATTAGAATCTGCCGGAAAATCAAGGGTCGTACAACTTAGATCTGTTTACTTGTACCATGTGAATTCTAAAATGGCACGTGCATACAATGTAGGGTTTACAATTATAATGGAATATAAAGTAAAATCAATTCTGAGAATCAAAATATCTTAACTCTCCGGTAAATTAATAATACTTAACATATTAGTCTGCATTCAGACGAATTTAGCGTGATTAAGTAAAAATGTTGACGTTTTTTGTATTGGGGTGCAGGAAAGGAAAACTCACCAAATCATATGTCATCGCGGCAAAATGTCAAACAAAATATCTTTCTGCAGTTCCAATATAATTTGCACTTCAAATGGCAATGATTTTAATATGTCATAAGTGCACTTTTATGTTGAGTTTACACCCATTTTTTTTTCTTTGAAAGCCATGGAATACGATAAATGATAGCATGTATCAACAAACCTGTAGGGTACAACCTTCACGAGCCCCACGTGAATGTCGCCGAGATCCCGTTTCGTCTTTATCCAATGATTATATCCCCCAACTAAATTTTTGTTAGGAAAGTTGCTTTTTAATTTCAAGCCCTATTTTTGGTTTTGTTTTTCGTTTTGGGCGACTTTGTCAATGTAGCAGGCCTACCGGGCTTCCCTCTCTTACCATGCTGTTTTGTTTATGAAAACTATACGCATGCGTGTATGGCATGGAGTGTGGAATCTCGAACACGTTGCGATGTATATATTTATGGACAATAAATAATTATTAATTTTAATGAAATAATCAGAATTATTTACTCATGAAATTTGTAATTTTCTGAAAGTGTATACAATAATGAGTATGAAAAAAATTCCAAATCCTATAGGAAAATTTTAACAAGTCTGCTTTTGAAGAAATGCGCCGTATTGCTACTTTAATTATTGAATTAATTGACGTTTTCAACCGCTTTATGACATAATTCTTTCATTAAGCGTTGATTTAGCATTAGCAGTTGAGAATTTCAACTATAAATGCAATAATTTATGGCATTTAGTGTTGAATTGCTACGCCTAATGATATGTCTATCATTAAGCGGCGTTATATCATTAGTGGTTGCTTCAGGGCCTTCCTTAAGATACCAACTCTTTAACCATTTGATCTTGGAATTTGACCTTCTTTTTCTCCTTGGCAAAAACTTCCAAAGAGTTGGTGCTAGGGATTTTATATTTCACATGTGTATTTCTTGTGACAGGACTTTTCCCTGGAAATTAGTAATTCTGAACCTTTGACAATCGGTTGGATTTTGACCTACTTAACAACTTATAATTTTTTTGATGGAAGCACAACTGAGAATTTCACAAAAGTCATATGTTTCATATTCGAATATTTCACTTTAAAAAAATGGCATCCTAGACATAACAAAAAACTTTGTGAAAAACATGGTGACTACAACATTTCTATTGCCTCTTTCCCTTTTCATGCAGCAATATACATGTACCATTATCACCTACATATAAAGTTTATGTCTTCCGCTTGATCAATACACAATAACATGCTCTGTGCATGAACAATTTCCAAACATGCCAAGTTACTTGCAAATAAGTTGATGACTTAAAGATATCAACAGAAATTCTTTAAAAAATTGCTTAATTTCTATGGTTGATTCAGTGACCTTCGTAGCAAATACAATTTATTATTAAGTTGTTAAGTGTTAATTTTTCATACAAAAAATGAAATTGTAAAGTCATTATATTTACATTGAATAGTCTATGCATTTTCCCATCTGTCATGACAAGAAACACACTGCAGGTGTGAAAGGTGAAAAGGGGACGCTCACTCCTCCATGACACCTGATTCCAATCTATGATGCTTTAAGGTCCATATTGCCTATATTCATATGTTCCTGTATACTTTGGAGCTAGCTTACTGCTGTTTGTATGTTCCTAAGAGTTAATAACTTGCTTACTGCTGTTTGTATGTTCCTATCGACTTTGGAGCTTGCTTACTGTTGTTTGTATGTTCCTATCGACTTTGGAGCTTGCTTACTGTTGTTTGTATGTTTCTATCGACTTTGGAGCTTGCTTACTGTTGTTTGTATGTTCCTATCGACTTTAAAGCTTGCTTACTGTTGTTTGTATATTACAATGAACTTTGAAGCTTTCTTACTGCTGTTTGTATATTTGTATGGACTTTGGAGCTTGCTTACATTTTGTTTGTATGTTCCTATT